ATGTTAATTTGTTTTTAAAATTGATTGTTGCCAACAATAATTTGTATATTATTGAGTATGTTTCCTATGGGAACTCCACATAGTGAAGAGATCTCAACCACCACGGAGAACTGTATTTACCAAAGCACCAACTATGCTCTATTTGCTACATTTGAGAATGGCCCGTACGGTGCGGAGTGGTCTCAAAATTGGTTATCTAGTAAGATTTGTGGGTTGCATATATCTATATCTATATCTATACATACATATACATATACATATACTAGTTGAGATGCACGTGTAATGCACGTGGTTAAATATCACGATTACTTAAATTGACAAAAATAGAATAAAAATAAAAAAAGAAAATAAAGTTTTTTGTGGGATTGATCGCCAACTTAATAATCTCTCTCTCAAATATAATATTTTAATTGTTTCATTCAACTCAGGTTGTGGTCGGGTGATCTACTATTTGAGTTATAAATACATTAATCTAGTACAACATCTCTATTTATTAGTATCTTAAAGTCTTCAAAAGATGAGTGATCATTCAATTCGTAAAGAAATTTTGCATATGAACTTACTTGCAATATGTCCATTAAACTTTTAGTTGTACTTTGACTCATATTCACATTAACTTATAGTTGTAGTTTTACTCATATTTACATTATTTAATATTCTCATTCAATTTTATAGCTCATTCTCCGTACCATAGAAGTAAAATTAAAACTATAAAGAATTATTTTTTTACAAAATTAGAGCAGGGAGATTATGATATATTTCGCAATGTGCTCTAAATAAAAAAAAAGTTTCTTTGATGCAATGTCCTTATCAAATCTTGCTCCAAACGATGTGCATGAAAAATGCTATTATAACTCACTTGCCTAGGCCAATTGTATTGTATATATGGCATATAACTCATCTAGAATATCCGCATTCGCTAAGTGGATTTTACTGCTGTGAGAGCAAAATGTTAGAGGCTCGCATTCAAACTTTTTGGCTCTGTAAAAGACACAAGAATTTAGAGTGCACAACTTATATATCGTAAAGAACATACAGGTTCATGAAGAATTTTTCCTAATAACGATATTATTACAGTGATATCACTAATCAGTATCAAATCAATTTTATTATATAAGATTACATAACTATTTTTAATAAACTATAAAGTATATATATGGAAGCCTCAATACTTATAGCTAGTAGTTGAGCTCCATAAAATAGGTTAATTTTACATTGTAGTTTGCTAATGGTAGTATTGTTGGTAATAACATTACCTTTCATCTTTATCTTATTATTCATGATTTTCTGATGTAAGTTTTCTTTTGCTAACCACTCAATTGAATATATTTAGTTTTTATAATATCAAAATTTAGAATATTCTATTCTGTTTAAAAAGTATTAACGTGATTTTTTTTTAAAATATATATACATAGTAGTAATAATATATATACTTTAATTCAACTCAAAAATTGGCTTGAAGCCATTTAGAGTGAGGTCTTTTCTACGTTAGAATAGTGATATAGTGATTACACAATCCAAAAGTCAAAGAAAAAATTTCTACAAAAGAAAAGTACTTAAAATGTTAAATTAATAACTAATTTATAAAATATACATCGACAGTACAGATAGTTATAAAAAGTAAGGAATATATCTTCATGAATATTCTATAGTGAGTGACCAACTACAATCATCCAAATTTAAGCATAAATAATTATTATTTTAGTTACTAATTTGATACGCGTAACTATGAAATAAATCTCAAGCAAAAAATAGGAACTGGGATTATATTATCCTGTAAGTAAATAAATAAATATTAGTTGAGCTTCTCTTTATATTAAACTTTAAAGTAATAATTTAAATAATTAAGTGCCAAATATTAGTTCATGTGAGAAAGTAAAGTAATCTATGGTCTATATACCTATACAGTCAATCAATCAAACATATTAAAATTATGATGACCACAATCAAAATTATATAGTGTGTTATCATTAACTATAATTTATAAAATAAAGTACATTAAAGACAAAAACAATCTTTTAACCACTATATAAATTGTCTAAATTTTTTTACATATATAAACTATACTACATAGGAATAGTAATGTGCGTACTTAACTATAGCCTAATAATCTTAAGAATGACTTACACTTCAATATCATCATTAATTAGCGTATCCATGCATTACACTGAAAATACAATAAAAATTTAGAAAACTACAAGAGAAACAACCTCAAAAATTTCAAAAATTGTAAAAAAAACACCCTAAAAATTTATAATTTACAAATACACAAAACTATTAAACATTACATTGAAATCAAGGAATTACAAAAATTATTAAAAGTTTCAAACTTTAGAGGGGTAATTTGTAATATACTAAACTTTAAGGGTGTTTTCTTATAAATTTCATAACTTAATATATTTTCAATTAGTTATTAGTTGTGTTCTTTTTAAAAAAGTTATGAGTAATATTGATCATGAAATTTTTTTCCTAAACCTATACTTTTAAAAGGAGTATGATATTTTTAGCAAAATTTTAATTTCTAGGGGTTGCTAGTAATTTTGTATATTCATTTTAGTGTATGTAGGTTAGAAATTCTCATGGTGTTTTTTATTTTGTAAATTATAAATTTTAGGGGCTTTTTAAATTTTTTTAAACTTATACGCCTTTTCTACAAATTGTAAATTGTTTATAGACTATTTATAATTCCTATGTTTTTAATTTACTAATGAGTTTGAAATCCTCAGGGTATTTTTTATAAAATTTGAATTTTGAGGGTTTGTTTGTTATTTTTGAAACTTTAAGGGTGTTTTCTTAAATTATAAATTTTGTAGGAGATATTTATACTTCCTATATTTTCAATATACTGTTAAGTTGGAAATTATTAGATTTTTTTATAAATTTTATAATTTTGATGGTTTTATTTTACAATTTGTAAAAGTTCAGAATGTTTATTACAAATTCCATAAAATTTAGGGTTTTTTGTGCTATTTGTTGGTTTTTAGTGTGTTTATATGTTTGAAATATTCAAGGTGTTTTTTATAAATTTTTAGGGGTATTTCTGTAATTTTTAAAACTTACAAGATATTTCACCAAATTTGAAAAATGTTCAGTTGCTAGCTAGCATATGTTTTTCAGATCTCTTAAAACTATAAAAAGAGGATTGGGGAGTTAAAACTTTATTTTTTTTTTGCTCTCTTAAATTTTAATAAATCCTAACTATGTCATTATCTCTAATTAATCTTTCATTAAATAAATATAACCTCTTTTAAATTATGCACCCCCTCGATCACCTTCCTAAATAATTATATTTATCAATAATATTATAACTATTAATTATTAATAATATAATAAAATATTTTATAAATAAGTATACCCAACTATTAGTAATAATCAATTAAATTATTATAATAATTATTTATGAATTATAATAAAATAATTAAAAGAATAATATAAATAGAATAATATATTACTATATACCATTAAAAATTATATTAAAATTCAATAGACAATAAAATAAATAAAATAAATATTTAATCGCATAAATAGTATAGTAATTTGAATAATATCATATAAATTATGAATTGCACTATTTATTTAGTATTATATTATTAAAAAATTTAAATAAATAAGTTAATATTATTTTTAGAGTATTTCATCAAAGATTATTATATGATATTGAATAATATATACTAGGAAATGATTGAAAACTAACATTTCCACTAAATAATTATTTAATATTAATAATAATGTTATCAATTGTTAATGATAGTATAATAAAAGTTATAAAATATTTATAGTACTAAATTATTTAAAAGCATAATTAAAAAAATTAAATTAGATAAATATTTATAGCATATAGATAGCATAATTATTTTAATACTCATTACTTAAACTATGAATTATAATACTAAATAAGGTAAATTACAATAAACCCTCATGAACTTTTAGCATTTTATAGTAAATAGAGCCTATGAACTTTTGAAAGCATACTAAACCCCTAATAACTTTTATAGAAAGCCTCCAATATCTTTTAGATAAATTACACCATACCCCCAATAACTTTCAAAATGTATTTTTATGCCATTTTATGGATCTAATTTATAGGGGTTATTTGTAAAATTTTGAAAGTTATTCGGGGTTTTCTTTGAGATGGAAAAGCCATTAGGGGTTTAGTGTGATTTTGAAACTTCATAGAAGCTGAAAGTTCATAAAGATTTAATATAATTTACTCTATTAAATATTTATAAGGAGACGTAACTATTGCAATATGTTGCATGTATTAAGTGTAACTATCCGAGGGAACATCATGAAAAAGTTAGTAATATCAATGCCTGCATTTAATTTAGAGTTAAATTAATAATTTTTAAGTTGGAGGGGCATATTTAAGAGAACCTGTAGAATTGATAGCTTTATTTAAGAACAATTTTAGATTAGGGAGACTTGTTTAAAAAAAAGGTTAGCACTAAGCAATCATTATAATAATAACATCCAATTATAAATAACCATACAATAATAATTACTCTATACATTTTTTTAAGCAGTCTTATTATACAAATTTATTTTGTTAACACATAATTTTACCATTCAATAAAAAATTCAAATTTTAATATATGTATATTCACATGCAAAGCCCGTACAGTATACTAATATATCTAAAAAGATATCCTAGAGAATAAATTGAATTTATTTATACAGGGACTAAGATAAACTAATCATTTATCCCAATACTAAAGCATTTCTAAGATTAGAAATGATAGGGGCACACCCTCTACCACACCTCCAACCACACCATCTCTCTCGCTACAGTACACCGGGCCCACATAAGATTTTATTTAATAAAATCTCATGTGGGCCCGGTGTACTGTAGCGAGAGAGATGGTGTGGATGGAAGTGTGGTAGAGGGTGTGCCGCTAGTGCCTCTCTTCTAAGATTTTCTTTGCTGTTGATCTGGTGCCCAGAAACCAAACATCCCCAAAAAGGACCATCAGCTTTTCTTCAGCATCTATGTTACAGTTAACCCAAGCAGGATATAGAATCTCTCTTTGATGTGGTGCAGAACTCGAGTAGGATGTAGAAATCTCTCTTTTGTGGCTTCACGACTCAAGTCCCTGATGTAGACTTGATCTCTCTCTCTCTCTCTCTCTCAACTTCATTTTTTCCCATGAGTCCACATCCTTCTTCCTCGCTTTTCTCTTCTTATTATAGCGTTGGGCATGAAAGGGCTAATGGCTGCCTCTTTGACATCAACTCCTAATTATATATTCTCATGGAGAGAGCAAACGCTCATTTTCTTACCATCTCAAAATGATGATACCCTTTTGTTTGATTACATTAATCAGTCAGCAGAGAACTCAGCTTCCTCATCCTATTCAGAATCCTCTAATGTCAAGAGTGGAGGTAATGGTATTTGGAAAATGGATTTAGAAATGGAAACACATTATGGGTTTTGTGTTTTAGCATTGTATTTTGGTCCTAGTGCTAGTTGGGATCTTTTGCTTATTCATTTTCCATAGAAAAGCTGGTTCCTTTATTTCAGCCTCGTTGTTCTTGAGTAAGGACATTAACTTGTAAAGGTCTTAGTTATATTCTATTTAGCTTATATAGCTTATATCCTGTAATGAGTTTGAGATAGCTTGCTATTTGCATTACCAAACTTGATCGTTTTACTCCATTTATTGTTGCTATGTTCTTCTAATCAACAAGGCTAGCTTATTTGTATGTTCATATAGCTTGCATGGAAGACTAAGGCGTGCTACTTGCATTTCTCAAATGTAGTTTTTTTTTTTGTGTGTGTTTTAAGGATTGGGATCCAGAAACTTGAATGCAACCATAAATGGGGATACAGTATCAGGAGGGCCATTTAGTCCCTCTCAGATAATTGTGCTTCAGCAACAAATTGCTATCTTGAGATGCATAGAAACAAAGGTCCCGATACCATCTGAACTGCTGATTTCACTCGGAAAATTGCCTCTACCTAAAAGATCCTCTACCATTTCATCTGAACTTCTCGCTTCGAAAACATGTAAGCCTCTGCTCACTCAATGACACTAGATTATTTTCTTCCTCAATTTGTTTGCTGTTAACATTGAAAACATTTGTAGTGTTGCACTTTGGAACTTATTGTCATAGTTTGAATTTGGGGGATAGAGCCCCTAGGTGAAACATTTTTGTCTCTTTTACCCTCGATAGACTCACTAATTTCACCAAGAGCTACATATCTAGCCAAGATGACATCCAGGGTAAAAGAGTCCAAAAAAATTTCACCCAGAGGGTTTATCTGCCAAAATGACACTACAGAGGTAGTAAGTTCAAAACAACCGCAGTCTATTTGCAATTAACCCTTATTTATTTTCTTGAGGTTTTATTGTGTAATAGTTCAGTTTTACATTTTGATATCATACTGAGAAGCATAATCATAAGCATACCCATCGAGTCTACTCTTAACTGTATCTATTTGAACCCTCCAGCCATGTGAGCAAGAGATGTCAAATTATCCAGTGATTCACTTACCTTAAAGCTTGCGTTTATTCTTACTGCACTATTTTCTTTATTTATTTAGCGGCTGCAGGATTTTTCCAGCTTGGTTTCATGAGATACCCTGATCCGGAACCTGGTAGATGTCGACGCACTGATGGCAAGAAATGGCGGTGCTCTAGAGTCGCAGTTGCCAATCACAAGTACTGTGATAAACACATAAACAGAGGTCGCCACCGTTCAAGAAAGCTTGTGGAAGGCCATAACAGTCATGCTTCGAGATTGGAGCCAACTGCTGCCCCTTCATCATCAGCTTCTTCTGTTTCTGCTTCTGAGAACTTGCAGCTTATGATCTCCAGTTTTTCTTCTGCTCAGATGACTAGGTAAATATATCTCAGTATGACATGGTTTTCAAATTTGTGTCTCAGAGTGTTTGACAACAACTCAAAATCAGGCAAGGTCTGGTCCTGACCCCATTTTAGGAAAAATTGCGTGTTAGACAAAACCTGGACCATTATTAACCCAATTTTCCTTAGGCCGAAGAAATGAACCTTTATAATGCTTCATGGTTAGTAGTGTAAATTTCAGTTAAAATCAAACAAATTGATTCAGTTTTAACCCCCGGGGATGATAAAGAGGATCGTATAATTAAGAACCTACTTTTAAATCGAGCCATAATTTTATAATGTCTATTTGCAGCTTTTTGTTTTGTTAGCTGTAGATGTTCTCATTATCATGCTATAGTTAGTTAAACTAGCTGTCAGTTGTAATGAAAAGTTTTAAAAGAAAAGATGACATGATCTGAATCCAAAATGCATTGTGTTTACTTTTAGTTGTAATCCTAATCATTTACGTTATGTCAAATTTTCCTGATTTGCGATATCATTGGCTTCAATTTTCCCAAATAAAGATATTCTCTAAAGCTGGTATGTAGCCATGGTGACACATTGCAAGTTAATTTCATTTGGATAATATTATCATCACATTGAGAATTCATATTAGAGTTCTATAAATGCTGATGTTCCCTCATCTGTTGCAGGATGCTAGTGAACGAGAACATAAATGATCACATGGATAATTATCAAGACCTCTCCCTGCAGTATCCAGATATGAACTCCTCAGACACTTTGATCCCGATTTCAACTGAACCTACCCAGTCTGCAAGTTCATTATCTCTGCCTCCCTTGCCAGATTCGTTCCTTGCCTCTGATTCCTTTTTGGAACATGATAGTTTTCTTTCTTGTGAAATCCAGAGTGAAGTACCAAACGTCCTCAATAAAAGTTCATTCGATGTGGGTTCGAGCAAGGGGCAAGGATCAAATGAGATGAGTTTGGATCCCATAGCTTGGGCTGCTTACAATGGTGGACCTCTGGGAGAGGTTTTGGCTAACCAAATGATATGACAGGTTATGCGAACTGCTCTTTTACTTCTAATCCCAGGATTGAAGAATAGGGTTCAAGTCCTCAGGCTGGAAGCAAGAACAAGGAGTGATGATGGTAATAGACAATTTTAGTATAGGATTTAACAAACAGGTATAGTTCTCTAGTTGGCTATACATGATGTTGTTTTTTATGCTTTGTTTTTATACTCTCGTGTGTTCTATGGGCATCCTGTGTTTGAGCCGACGGCAGTTTCTAGCTATGAGCAGATAGGTACAACAAAATTTTCAAAGAGTAGATCATATATATATATATATTTATATTCCTTTAACTTGCAGCAAAACAGTCGTTTGTCTGTAATGTTGTTCTAGTTAAGCATGTCTATATTCCACCATGATTTAATGTACTGCTGATAGATATCCGATTTACCTTCTACTTTTAAGAGACTAGTGGAAACATTCCACCTTTTACTCAGAAGCAATTTGCATTAAAAGAAAACTTAATTCACAAATTTCATACATCTCTTGAACTGAAGCATTACAAGGCACCACCGAATATAAGCAAATCTTTCCCTGTTATTGTATCAAATATTTAGGAAATAGGATATAAATATCTGTTGGGCAATTAGCAGTGGTCATAGAGAGCCTGCGGAAAATAATTGCCAATGAATTTGGAATACGAATAAGCAGAAACAACTGATTTATTTCATACATCTAACTGTAATACTCAATACAAGAATTTTCACTCTTATAAGCAGTACAAATAACAATATATGGCAAAATTTTACTGCATTACTCAAGGATGTACAAGACGAGTTTCCATCACAATACCAACCACTTGAGGAATATCTTGTGTCAAACTTCACCTTGCTGACCTAGGCACAAATGCATCAGTAAGCTCCCTTCACATTCCGAAGAGAACAATAAAATATGAATCACCTAAGTTGCTGCATAAAACTAATTCAAAAAATTGACATGAACGGCAACTTTAGACCCAACCATTCAAGACCCAGAATGTAAGAGTAGCTTATTTGTTCGACCAAAAGAAATAGCAAGCAAAGAAGAAATGGTGGTAATTGCAAACATAATTCTTATAGATCAACAGTAGTAAGCCATTAGTTTCCAAGGAATGGAAATACCCAAAAGATTTAGCAGAAGATGAAAAGCTGTGATAAACCCAAAAGCATTCCTCAGCCTTGCCTAATATCCACATTGCATGAAATCTCGGTTCCTCAACCCCATCAGGATACTTGATGAGGAAGCCCAATCATTCATGATATAAGCGAAGGTTCAGATTACTAAACTATTCATCATAGAGATTGTTAAAGAAAAGAGACTTACCCTAGACATGGTTTGGATGAACAATACAACCCAGCAACACAACAAAATTACAATGTTGACAAGAGTCTATGCATATATATAGTTTTATATATATACATGCATGGTATTGGGTTTTCATGTTTATAATATGAAATCACATATTTCATATTTATTATTGTGATTTGGTTTAACTACTTAGATATGAAACAAATATATTTTCATATACATACTCCTATGTTTCATTCTCTAATGTATTTGTGAAAATATCATATTCTTAGTTTTTGGATTTAACAATAATCATATACATATTTTATTAAGTCTACAAAATCATTGTGCAGAGTTTCAAAACATGGTTTAGCCTAAATGTCAAAATTCATATGTTTACATTTTCGTGTTTTGGACTATTTTGCAAAATGATGATATTTTTTATTTGGGAAGTCCTTTTTAGAAACCAGTTATTGTAGCATGTTTATTATCATGTCTACAATCATTCCCCAAAGTTTTATATTTTTTGGAATTTATTTGATATTTTTAAACAAGGTTTTAAAATCAGAAAAATAGTTTTCGAAATCAGATTTTTATGTATCAGATTTCGGTCGACCGATCCGGTCGACCACTCATATGTTCAGCCGTCAGTGGGCAGCAGAGAGTTTGTTGGTCGACCGGTCCGGTCGATCGAGAGCTCCATCAATCGACTGTAGGAATTTTCGGTCGACCGCCAATATATCTGTTGGTTCCCAACGGCTATTTTTCTGAGTTGATTTTCTGGGACTGTTTTTGTCTTTTGCTTGGGGTTGTTGGCTGAGGTTTTAGAGGTTATAAATACCCTCCTTGATCTCAGTTATCTAATAGCTAAGAAAAGTTTTTAAACAAGGGTTTAAGGTTTCTACTGTTTGTTTAAGTTTGGGTTTCTGTTTACAAAGGAGAAAATTTTCACTACAGATTGAGGGATTCATTCTCAATCTTCTTCATCATCTTCTTTGTGTTCATAGAGAAGTTTCCTAACTCTTCTCTCTAGCAATTTTATTATTGATTTTTATATTCTTATTATTGCTAGTTTGCTATTTGAGTTAGATTTTATTTTATCTCATTGTTACACACACCCACTTGAGCTTATTGTATTTGCATTCATAATATATTGTGGGTTGGTGAGAGGTTGTAACATTGAGTGTGAGCTTTCATTGTGTTCTCATCCATAGTTGAGAATAATCAATTATTGTATTGAGCCTAATTGTGAGATTCACTTTGTAATACACTTGTACACCGAGAGGAGTGTGTGGTGAGAGTCGGGGATCGTCCCAAGAGGAGTGGCGTAGGTTGATGAACCTAGAGAGAGGTTGTAAACGATCACTTGAGGGAGACACGGCTAGATCCAACACTTGTGAGGGTGTAGAGTGGGTTTGCAAGAGTGTGGGTTGTAGAGTTTTCGGTTAGCTAGAAAACCGAGTGTGTAAAAGTTCCGACTTTCAAACCGGATTGTGATAGTGGATTTCTCCTCGGGGGTGGGGAGCGAAGACGTAGGACGGAAGGTCCGAACTCCGTGATCATATCTTGTGTTTGAGTGTGCTTTGTGTGTTGCATAATTTTATTGCCTTAGAAGATCCAGATGATGATATTTTAAATGAGAATGTAAAAATTGGTGAAGATAATGGGGAAGTGACAAATGAAGATGATTCAAATGTAGTCAAGTATACTCAAACTAGGACACCAAGAGAGGATCAAGATGCAAGAAATGACTTGAAGGAGCTAAGACATCAAATTGCTTGGGCGATGTGGGTGGATCATTGTGCAAAGTATAATAGTGGTAACACAATGGAGAGTGGATTAACTTAATGTGTTGTTTGTTCTATCTCGCTATAATAACTTGTATTATGTAACTTATTATTAATTTTAATGTCCGCAACTACCCTTTTTATGCTTCTTAGACTATAATAAACATTATTATGATTATCATCTATTCTATTTTTACATTGTCTGATAAATGTGGGCTTTTCATATATTCATTTTCTAACTTGTCATATATTGATTTAGATTCCTTTAATAATGCATGCATATCATATATTGATTTAGATTCCTTTAATAATAATATGCCTATGTTTATAATATATTTAGGTATGGCTAACAACCAGGCAGATAAATAAACTGTGCATTCTCATTCTAATGCAATGCCAAATACTATAGATGGCATTAACATGAACTTCATGTCTGTTCAACCACAGCCTTTCACTTCACCCCCTCATACCTTCTCACCATTCCCACCATACAATGGTAATTATGATGAATGACACAACAGCCAATGTCATACGTGAGCATGTTAAGCAGTCTACAAGGTTTGCTATTTTTCATAGCCAGTTCTCAAAGTAGTGGACCTCATCAATTTTCACCAAACACTGGTGATTCAGTTGGAAAATTTATTCATGAAGTTGATGGTGAGGAGCACACTTCACCAATGAAAAAAAGGAAAGAAATTAGCTCATAAGAAAAAAGTTCCGGCGACAAGGTTGAACTCAAAAGGTGTGTCTAATAAGTTTTGGCTTCCAGAGCACAATGATGTGCTCATTCCTTATCTTGCAAAATTAGCATTAGATAGATTGAAGCCATACAAGAACTTTAAGATAGAAGCTTATAAAATGACAGCCACAAAAATCAACATGCAATTCAGAACCGATTTCACTCATCTACATGTCATTAACCACTTGAAATGCTTGAGAAACAAATTCAATGACATGAAGGCTTGATTTCACTCATCTACATGTCATTAACCACTTGAAATGCTTGAGAAACAAATTCAATGACATGAAGGCTTGCCTTGATATAAACCACTTGAAATGCTTGAGAAACAAATTCAATGACATGAAGGCTTGCCTTGATATAAGTGGAGCTGGATGAGATGGAATAAATAAAATAATTACACTGGATGATGAAACGTTAAAATCGTGGTCTCAAGTATAACTTTTAGCAGCTATAATGTCTTTAATAATTTATACATTTGGCTCTCAACTTATGAGTATTTGTTATTGTAGGACAAATCCAATTCTAAGCTTAAAGTGTACATAAAAAAACATCTTCCTCACTTTAAAAATTTACAAGTGATCATGGGTGATGATTTATAATCTTTTGGAGTTGATGTTAAGCACATGTACATGTTCTGATTTATAATCAGAATGTTTTGTATTTTGCACATGTACATGTTTTGTATTATATCTAATTTGGTTGTGTGATGAGAATTCTTGTAGTGATTACTGGTTGTGTGATGGAATTCTTGTAGTGATGGGAAAATTATGAATGCTTTGGATAGTTGCATGATATGCTCATCTCTAAACATATAAATGTGATTTAGTGAATATCTTATATTGAAAATCTTACTATTTTTTGATTTCATTATTAATACAGGATGGAAGATAATCAGAATGTCTCTATTTTGCTATTTCATGAGGATAATGCTGATTTTCTCCTCATTCGCATTATCAACATGGCTGCACAAAATAGGAGGTCTAGTTACGAGTATCTCGCACCTCATATCACAAGAGGAGATAAATCTACTAATTTCCCAACTCAGACATGGCATTACGGACCTTGGCCTTTAATATTTGAAATCTAAGATGGAGAGCAATCCACGTGATTTTCGTCGAGTATATCGTATGTATCTGGATTGCTTCATGAAATTGTGTATGGTCTTGCGAGAACGTGGGCATTTACAAGATACACGGTATATCAGCGTTGAGGAGATTATTGCTATTTTCCCACTCACTGTTACTCAAAATCAACGATATTGCATCACCACTAAGAGGTTTGATCGATCCCGATCTTTCTCCAGAGGCACCACGCAATGTTGCTCCGATTGATGGTGATTCTGATGAGGACGATGACCTACAAACTCAACAAGCACAAAGGATAGCTGCATCACGTTGGAGAGAACAAATAGCAAACACAATGTGGGAGGATGAGACAAACGTAGCCCAAGGAGTCTAGAGCAAAGTTATATGCCGGTAGATTATATTTGTAATAATTAAGATTTAAGTTACCGACTAAGACTTTATTTGTAATAATTGAGACTTTATCATCATCATCATTGTAATAGATGTATGAATGATTAAATAATTATTGCAATTAAAAAATTTATTAATATAGCATAATAGTTAAAATAAACATCAAAATATTTAAAGATTGATTAATATTAATATTAATATTATATTATTTTTAATATTTTATGTTAAAACAATCTTAAAAAATAATATTATTATATATTATAACTATTATTTATTTAATCATTTGATGTTATATCAAGTTAAACTAGACTTAATTGAGCTATAAATATAATATTATAAAAAGATGTCATACCAATTGTCTCACTCAAATTGTCCCATTACCCTATTTTACCCTATTTTATCCCACTTAAATTATCCCATTGGATAAAATTACTTCATTAGAACAATTTAACCCAATTTACACCAAATTACCCCAATGAATAACCCCCCTAGCTACCACAAATTGGGTTGTTTGGCTCTTTTCCTTAAAAAATAGGAATAGAAAAAGGATGCTAAAATTGGGTTTCTTGAAAGGAAAAAACCCCCTCTTTCATCACTTTAAAATAACAAGTTTCTATAAAACCAACGTGAACCAAATAAAGTTTTAAGAAATAGAGTGGAACAATTTTTGCTCATTCCGACCCTATAAGGAGGGTTACCACAAATTTGGACAAACCAACCATGGTTCTTATACTTTTCGAAACACTAATATAACATTCATCAGCAGAAAACTATGTTGGGAATTTATGCCGAAAATCCCTAAACAGCAGAAATGCAATATAGAGAAAATACATTAAGTTTTAACGAGATTCGGTAACTGCCTACGTCCCCGGGAGCCACACACAATTAATTTCTTATTAATCAACAAGAAATTACAATGCAAGAGCAGATCTCAAACTTGAGATCTTTCAATAGATGCTAATTGTCAATGTAACTACAGTGACAATTCTCTCTTTAAATCCCCTTATTAATTCTCTTTTTACTTCTTAAATCTCCCCTCAAAATCCTGAGCGTTGGAGAAAAGAAACGAAGAAAAGGGAAAAAATTGTCGCCGCTAGGAACTGAACGCAAGAGGGAAGAGAGGCAGCGGATCCGAGCCCTAGGGTTTCCCTTTTATAGGAAAGGGAAACCCTAGTTGAGCTGTCGACAGCCTGGGAAACTCGCCAGCAGTGCTCAAGCTCGTTTGTAAAGGCCCTAAGCTCACCTACGGACCCCCCCCAAAGCTCGCCTGCGTCTTACTCGCTAGCCCTCGACTACAGAAGTCCCGCCTGAAGATCCTCGTGCTCGCTTGCAACTCTGGATCTCAACTACAACCCGTCGACAGATCTCGCTCGCCATGCTTCTGGACCTCGACGAGCTCGAGCTTGCCAGATCAGCGACGAGCTCTGAAGCTGACGCCTGTAGCTCGATCGCAACGAGCTCGTCTGGCCTCGTCATCGACCTCGCTCGAGTCGCCGCCCACGCTCGCCTGTGTGGATCTCAAACTCGCCGGATCTTCTCGCCTGCACGAGGTTTATACTTCACCCCAATTCCAACAATATTATCATGCTCTCACCTCTAAAACCACGACCATTTCTTGTTTCTACTTTTTTACTACACAATTGAAAGATGGTAATCGCACATAAAAAATTGCAATGTAACACACAACGGACTTGTGCACCAAAAAAACCTACCTCTAGAATTCAAAATAGCTAAGTGGTCAATTGCATACTTGACTTTGTAGTTTTTACCATGACCCGCAACACTTCATAGTTTAAAACCACGAGCCGCTATACAAAACATGTAGTGTAACTATGCATGAATTCAGGGAAATCTTCCCTCTTAGTTTGTTTTCTCTTCCCTTCACTCCCTTCTCTTTGCTTCGCCCCTCCAAACATATATGAAAAGGGGCAGGGAAGTGCAATCATCGGAAGGACATATCTTATGTGCTTTTTATTTGATTGAAGGATGAATTTATGCATTACTTTGTTAGTTTATTTTCTTCCTCCTCTTAAATCCCTTCAATCTAGAGATTTCTCCTCTCCTCCTTTGTATTTCATTTTCTTTTAGCCACTTCCCACTAATTCCTATGACAATAGATTGCATTTTTTGAGAGGGTGAATCTCATCTGTGATAAATTTAATTTATGAAAATTAGACATAAAGAAATATTTAATAATCAAATTAATCGGATGTAAATTTGGTCAATCTCAATTCGTTATGAGCAAAATATTAAATGAAGTGCAAAATCAATGAACAAAATAAAATATAACCAATACTTAAAAACAAACAACTAAATTAAGCCTAAGATTTTGCAGCTCTTGGTGAAGCATATTCAAGAGAATATGCTTTTTCGAAGTTTCTCCACTCCAACCATCATCTATATATCTAAGTCTATCTATTTCAATATATCCATATATCAATTTAATAAACACTTGAGTTGTTTTTTTTAATATATAAAAATAATAAAAGTTATATAATATAAATAATATTATTAAATGTATTAATATAAAATAGACATTCAGACTAAAATAAACAGACATTGATATACTAAATCCACGACCATTACATAGAAAACAAAAACATGAATTGAAAATTACATGACAAATAAGGAAAAAATAATACATAAAAAATACTAAAAGTCTAGAAAATTAACTCTTTCGTATACATCTCCTCTGTAGTCAGATATTACGTATTGACCTCCTAGGTAGTCAGATATTACGTATTTCTATTTAAAATCTGTTATTGTTTAATTCGAAAATATTTGCGTTTTTGTTGGATCAGTAATAGCATGCTGATCAACTAAAATAAATTTTTTTCTCTGGTCGTTTTTGCTGAAAATATAAATTTTTCTTATCATTTTCAACGTTCAACATTATAGTTTGGTTCATCGTTATTCTTTCATTTTCTAGTTATTCTTGACTTTTTTTTTTTAAATTTCTAAGATTTCTTGTTTTCCTTAGCAAAAGCTTTAAAATTAAGGTTTTTATCAATTTCTTGCCATCTTCTCAACTTCTTTTTTTGTTTCTTCCAATAGGTCGACTAGTTAAAATGTCGATTGGCGAATTGTCATCATCATTAGGAATATATCATTCATTGTTTTTATTTAAGTTAAGATTTTTTCTCGCATCATTTTCTACCCACATTGAATTCTTTCCCGCATCGTTTTCTATCAACATTGAATTCTCCTAATGAGGACGACCATTAGCCAATCGACATTTAAACTAATCGACCTATTGGAAGAAAGAAAAAAAAGCTGAGAAGACGGTAAGAAATTGATAAAAACCTTAATTTTGAAGCTTTTGCTAAGGGAAACCAAGAAATCTTAGAAATTTTAAAAAGAGGTTAAGAACAACTAGAAAATGAAAGAATAAAGATAAACCAGACTATAATGTTAAACTAAAAATGATAAGAAAAAAATTAGATCTTCAGCAAAAACGATAAAAAAAAAATTTATTCTAGTTGATCAGGATGCTATTACCGATCCAACAAAAACGCGAATATTTTAAAATTAAACAACCATAGATTTTAAATAGAAATAAACTAGGGATTCCTCATCTGATACCCTTAATCCTGAATACAGCTGCCTAGAAAGTCAATACGTAATATCTGACTACAGAGGAGATGTATACGAAAAAGTTAATTTTCTAAACTTTTAGTATTTTTTTATGTATTATTTTTTACTTATTTGTCATGTAATTTTCAATTCATACTTTTGTGTTCTATGTAATGGTCGAATTAAACAACAACAAATTTTAAATACGTAATACCTAAGTTTCATCATCTGATACCTCTAATCCTAAATACGACTACTTAGGAAGTCAATACGTAATACCTAACTTCAGAAGAGGTAGATACAAAAAAATTTAATTTTTCGTACTTTTAGTATTATTCATGTATTATTTTTTTATTTGTCATATTATTTTTCAATTCATACTTTTGTTTTCTATGTAATGATCGTGAATTTAATATATCAATGTCTGTTATTTTAGTCTGATTACCTATTTTATATTAATATATTTAATAATATTATTTAAATTATATAATTTTTATTATGTTTATATATTTCAAAAACAACTCAAGTGTTTATTAAATTGATATAGAGAGATGATGGTTAGAGTGGAGAAACTCCAAAAAAGCATATTCTCTTGAATATGCTTCACAGTGTTTAAGGGGCTGTTTGTTTTGAAAAAAAAATTGGGAAATCAAAAAATAGGAAACCTATTTTCTATAATAATTATTTTGAGGTTGTTTGGTTGGCTTAAAAAAAAGAAAACTATAGAATATGAGATGAGATGAGATGAGTTGTCACATTATTATTGGATGATGTAAGTGATTTTTAAAAAAAACTTGTTTTGAGGTTGTTTGGTTGGTTAAAAAAATAAGGAAATAAATTGGAGGTATATTTTTATGTTTGGTTGTTTTGAGGTTGTTTTGAGGTTGTTTATGTTTGGTTCATTTTTAAAAATAAGAAAATAGATGAGATGAGATGAGTTGGAAGTATATTATTGGATGATGTGACACATACTTAAAGAAATCAATTTCTTGTTTTTTTTTTTAGAAAATGGATGGAAATAAAGTTTAATGAGATGAGATGAGTTGTCACAATATTATTAGATGATGTGTGTGATTTTTAAAAATAAGATAAAATGAGATGTGATGAGCTGGATGATGTGACACATTTTTTGTGTTTGGTTTATTTTTAAATGTAAGAAATAAAATGATATGAGATGGGTTGGAGGATAAAAATATTATTTTATTAGATGTTGTGGGTAAGTTTTAGAGATGAAAATAAATAAAAATATTATTTTACTGATTTCCTTGTACTGATTTCCTTTTCTTGGATTTTAGGAAACCAACCAAACGGCCCCTAAGAGTAAATGCAAACTTGGCAATCAATTGAGAAGCCTGATTTGCTTACAACTTGTTTGTCTATTTGAGTACTCACAATATTGCTTCTTCCACTACTCAATATATGTCTATAGGCGTATTCACAATGTGCATCTTCCAACACTCAACATATCACGAAGAGTAAAGTTAAGATTCAAATTCCTGAAAAAGAACATTCAATATTAGCCAAGCAAATTAATGATAAGGCAAAAAGAAACATATAAGTTGCAGCATATAGAAATTATGTCGCAGGAGCGCATACAGCAAGACCATTTTACACTAAATTATCAGTGTCTGCACAAAATTTAAAAAAACAACAGAATAAAGATTGGCGTGCTCATATTCTATGGGTGTAAAGGAGTCTGTCATGCTACATGATAGCAAGTCAGTACGAGGAATTTTTTATAATCATAGCACGGTCCGTTTCAACAATTTCAAAGGGGGGAAAACTGACTTCGAAAATTTTCTTTAAAAAGCAGGAAAATTAAGAGAAAAAATTTGAAGAAAATGAGAAATATGGAGGCGGGCGTAACCCTGGATCAACTCCAGTTCGATGAGATTAGGGCTTTGAGACGCCTCGAAATTATAGGGAATGATGGAAGAGCTCCGACCATTGAATGATCGGAGATCAAATGAACAATTCACTCCCAATTGATCATTATTTGTACATTAAATTTACGCCGTTAATCTAAAATTAGAGCTTTAAAAGGGGAAAAGGGAAAAGGGCAAAAAAAAAAAAAACTGAAATCCTAAAAATACTTGGCGACAGATATAGGAGACGGCAGCGTTTTTATAGAGGAGACCTAGCATATAGGAAACCCTAGATCTGAACAAGGAAGCCGGATTTGAAGCAGAGTTACCGATTCGCCCTTTTAGGTCGACTCTGTATATATGCAACTATGTAGTGGGCTTAAATTGGGTAAAGTAAATGGGCTTACAGGCCTGGCGTTTCTTCTTAGATCTTAAATATTTTTTTGTTAAGTGGTAAATACTGATAATATATTTTATACTATTTTTTAGTAAGGATAACTTTTAAAAATAAACAACTATTCCCTTAAATAAAATAAAGAGAATAATAGGGGCACACTCCCAACCACAAACTCAACCACACCCCCTCTTTCATTTGCTACAGTGCACCAGGCCCCACATGAGATTTTAAAAATTAAAATCTTATGTAAGGCTCGGTGCACTGTAGCAAATGAGAGAGGAGATGTGGTTGAGGTTGTGATTAGGGAGGGGTGTGCCCCTAGTGCCACCCATAAAATAAACAGGTACCAATACTACAGTCTTTTAGAATTTTGAATGCACAACTGTTTATGAGTTCAAACCATAGGAAATAAATATTAAATTCGACATTTGTGCATGTGAATTATTTGTATTTGTGGTCATTGCGATTTTTAAGGGTACATGGACGAAGAACATGCAAAGAAAGACTCAGAAATATAAACATTAATTTCTCCCCCTTGTTGCAATAATTGACTTCTGTTAACAATATGCTAAAGAAGATAATTGATTGGAAAACTTCGACTTAGACTCAACAACACGTGGACCAAATCGGTTATTATGTTACATTTATTAACTTTCAACAACATTAGCGTGATCAATGTTGCCTTATCGTTGCAGTTGCCTTCTGTAGGAAACTTGTCTATAGCAGCAATCCTCAACTTGATAGGTCACAATTTTTTTAATTTGTTTTTATTTTTATTTTTGATGACAGATTGACCGGAAACAGTTGACAATTAAGAAGCTTTCAGCTATTAAAAATGTTTCAAACTATAAAACAAGGGAGGAGAAAGAGTTGTTCTACATGGGGTTGACACCTCACATGTCTCCCTTTGGGTCCCATGATTTGGGGTCCCCAATGAATTTTTCGAGGAGAAAAGATGCAACCCGTTGACAAAAAGTACTAGGGACTACAAAAGTACCTACATTCGAACATGCATCTAAAAATTTGAACACGAATCTGGAGATTTCCTTGCATGAAATGTTCTGTATTTTAGCGGTATTACTTTATTCATGTAATGACCTTAACACTGTTTGATTAACTCTATCACATTGTTGGCCACACTATTTTAACTTCAACACGTCAGATTAGCATTCAAAAGTCTCGACTAATCTAGTTCTTGTGGATTAATTTAAGACGCCATTGGTTGGTCTCTTATGAATACAGACCCTCCTTCCTGCTCAGTCCTTTCCGCTGAGTCTATTTATAAATTGGGTTAGCTATGAATAGACACCCTATAGTATCACCTAATTGTAAATAGAACCCTTGTAGTTGTATTTGTTGCGAATAGATTCCTTGTGGTTTTATTTGTTGTGAAAAGACTCTCTGAGTGAATTTTATTTTTTACTCTTAAAAATATTTAAAATGTTTGAGGAGGCAAATGGACACCGTATAGTTCTATTGGTGAGGATAGACACTTAACTGATTTTTTTCTCTTTTAAAAGAGTCAAAAAGTTCACTAAGGGGAGTGTATTCGCACTTGAGCCAATATTACTGGGGTTCTTAATTTTCGCAACAAATAGAACTACATAAGGATCTATTCATAACAAAATAGAACTATGAGAGTCTATTCGAACAAATAGAACTACATGGAGCATGTTCACAAGAAAATAGAACTAATGGGGTGTCTTTGCAATTGGGTGGTACTGTAGAGGATCTGTTCACAGTTAACAAATAGAACTACATGGGGTCTATTCACAACAAAATAGAACTAAAAGGGTTTCATTACAATTGGGTGGTACTACAAAGGATCTGTTCACAGTCAACCCTTATAAATTTGATGTTTGATGAGTTAAAAGTTAGAGCTATATCTTTATAAAAATTAACTCATGATTTCTTTTAGACCATCAAACCATCCATATGTAGGACGGTGCTGCGAGTAATCAACAATTGTCACAACATTTGAATTTTTGTGGTTGGAAATTCACGCAAAGACGTAACTTAGACAGTGACTATATGTGAAGAAGTGAACTTAATCATGCATAAGAGAGGTTATATCTAGGTGTCAAAAATGTCTTTTTGTTCATGTTGTGCATGTTGTTTGACGAATTAGCTAGCTAGTCAGGTTAGGCGGCTAATTAAATTCCAAGATTAATTGACCCGCAGCTAAATAGAGTTTTTAATTTCAAGATTTTCAGCCAATGGTTCCATTGTGAAACAATTCAAGCGATTGAATGTATGATTCACAAGTTTTATAATTGGCGATCACTCTAGTTGTAACTTACTAGTGTAGGCGTCAAAAAATGCTAAGAGATATCCAAACATAGAGAAAATCATTCAAAAGAAATCGACAGATATGAACTGTCTCGCCAGCGAGACAGTCTTTGCTGTCTCGCCGGCGAGACAGTGTTTGCTGTCTCGCCGGCGAGACAGTGTTGAAATGGTCAAAATTACCTCGATAACTGCCCTACACGTGTTCATCAACTGCCAAGGGACGTGGGAAGCATCGTGGGCGAAAAACACGTGGATAACTGCCAAAATAACGGAGTTTGAAACGTGGGAAGGCAGTTAAAACGAAAACTGCCTGGCGGTTACTGTTTCCGAGACAGCGTTTACTGTCTCCCCCGGCCGAGACAGCAAACACTGTCTCGCCGTACTAATGTCGTCGTTTGTTGAGTTTTTGCAGTTACAGACCCCTGAGGCTATAAATACCCCCCTAGGGTCACTTCTGACGAGGATCGAGCATATTTTCGAGCAATCCAGAGCAGAGAGAGCAGATTTGAGTTTTCGTGTGACTCCTTGAAATTGAGCTTTGACTTGATTTTAAGAAGAACGACTATCTTACTTTGATAAGATATCGTTTCAAGTTCTCACTTCGATAAACGAAGTCAGAATCAGTAAACCCCCTTCACGATCTGTGATTCGATGGTCCACGAACCAAAGCGTTCCCGGCACAGGCAAAGTCCCACAAAAACAGGATTCGATAAACGACTTCTGTGTTAGTTTCTCAAGAGTTGTAATTTTCTAATTTTTTCATTGTAATTCGTTGTAAACGACCGAAGTTCAATAGAATTATCAATGGAAGCAACTTTTGATGCAAACAACTAGGTAAACATAAACAATTTGGATAGTTTCAATTAGAAAAGTATCGCAAGTTGTTTTAAAAGTTTCTTGGAACTACTATGAACTTTTTTTTCTCTAATTTGCTACATTGAGCTAGCTTCACATTTGTTAAAAAAAAAAATTCTCCTAGCAATGTTAATGACAATCTTGCAAAGACTTAAATTGTGGTCATTTCTCTAAAATTTTATCTTTTTAATCCAAAAGCTATGTTACAATTCCCCTGATTATAGCCTTATAATCACTTGCCATATCTCGTTCTTATATTATCACATTAAAAGTCTTTTACACTGAACGCTCTTATGCCTGTCTATATTTTTTTGGTACGAAAGGTACTTAACCATATATTTTAGTCTAATTTCAGCCACAGCCAGTACGCCCCTAAAATTTGAAAGGAAAAAAAAAAGAGGAAGAAAACCCAGAACTTTCACTAGTTGGATTCATACTCTTCTCTTCTACAAAATCCTAATTCAATTCCCTTAATGGAGCTGAAATTTCACTAGCTTAAGGACAAAGTATTAGCTTAAACTCATATTGTCATTATATACTTTTTTTAATGGTAAAAATCGCTTTAGATGTACAAACGATTGAGTTCAAGGCCAAGTAGCAATCCACTTGGTCACAAGCTACGATTACCAAATGCTTTCTAGATAAAACTTCACTTGTAAAAAATACCTCCCTTGTCTTTCCTCTAGTAACCTCATGCCTTAATTTGCCAGTCCATGCAGGCCTAGAAAATAAATATACAAAACTACAAACACGTCATTGTTCTCGTCAAACACTCATATGACCTCTTCAACCCTAAAACCCTTTTTATAAATACCCACCCACCTACTTGTATTCACCTCCTACATCCCTTGTGAAGTTAGCTATAGAGCAAGAATTGCATGATCCCTTAATCTCCCTTTAAATCCCACTCTCATCACCAAACCAAGAAACCAAACAATCATCACAAATGAACCAAAACAGTCACCATAGAGCTCACTCCATGAGCAGTGTTCCCTTTTCATGGGAGAATAGACCGGGAATTTCCAAAATTGCCCCTCAGGCTGACGAAAGCCCGTTATCGGCCCAAGAAAGCCCAAAGTCAGCGCAGGAAATCAAACCACCACCACCTCCGGTCCCCGATGATAGCCCGAAAAGGCCCATGGCCCGGCATAGTACCCATGTGCCTCTGCCTCCATGCCCATTTCAGCCCATTAGTAATAGGTATGCAGCAAGTAAAGGATGGAGAAGAGATGAGGATCCTTTTTTGGCTGCTTATATGGAGTGTACAAAGAGCGTGAAGAAAAATAAAGGGAAGGGGTCTAATTATAAGTTATCAAGCGGATGGGGGTTTTCTTGTAAACAGGGGACAGGAGTGAGAGAGGATGTATTGGTTAAAGTTCCACAATTAAAGTCGCATGTTGGTAAATTGCATGGTGGAGATGAAAACGTTAGGTTGTTGTTTGAGAGGACTCAGAGGAGGCAGAGCGTTGGGAATGGGAATGTTGGAGGTCACCAGGGGCAGAGGTCAGTGTTCATGTAAGAGCTTGATTCTATTATTTTTATTTTCTTTCGGTGCTGAAGAGAATTGTGATGCTATCAATAATAGTACTCTATTTCCTTTTCCTTTACCTTTGATAAATAATTTTTTTGATTTCTTTTATTTGGAAGGGCCATGTTCTGAGAGAGGAGAGAGATTTTTATTTTCTTTGGATGATGGGGGATTTTTCATAAGATGTAGTTTGAATGGGAGATGATTGGAATGTGTTAATCACGGAGTGTGAATTAGAGGATGTGAATTTCTCATTTGTGGTTTAACTAGTACTAGTGTAAAGCCGTAAAGGTCATAACTGTACACATGTTGAATCACAAATTTATAATCACAATAGAACATTAATATCAAAGATAATGCATATTTGAAGCTTATGGGAGCAAACGGGACTCCGTTTACCGATCAACATCATTCTGATCTGCATCATATCAGAAGTCAAATAAGAAGAAAATTAAAATAAAAAAATAGTATAGATTTTGTTAAAATTTCACTGTAAAAAATTATAAAGTATTTTTGTAGTTGACGAGATCTAGAGTCAAATTCGAGCCAAAATAACTCATATTTGGAGGGTACACGGTGGCAAGTAGTTCTCTAAGCTAGGTGGAATAGTTTTACAACACCTCCACATCAGATTTTTCGTGGCCACATAGGATATAAGCTTTCCGTCGGTTTTTTTTCTCATCTTTGGTTTGCTAGGGTTGAAGAAGGGAAACTCGGTGAAAATTGTCGCCACATCAGATTTTTTTCTCTCCCCCAATTCCTTGCTCAACCTTGTGAAATCGACGAAAACTGCAGTCACGTCGGTTTTTTGCCATATAAACAAAAGTTTTCTCTTTTTTTTTTCCATGCGAACCAAACACAAGAAAAATAAATACATTGGTTTCCCACTATTTTTTTGTGCGAACCAAAGCGAAACAATCCATTTCTTGGAAAAGTTTGGAAAACTCAAAACTTGTGTTTTTGTACATGAAAATACATTTCCCTATATCTAGGAAACGAACCAAACAGCCCCTAAACATCTCAAAGTGTGGGGTCCTCAATGACTTATCAATTTTGACAGTAATTTAAGAGACAACTCTATATGCTTTGTTTCAAATAGTTCATATAGTTAGGTATTCGTAACGTAGTAAGTATATTTCAGAAAAATTACCTTTTCTAAAGGTCGCTAATTAAAGTCCTAGATCACATTCTTAACAAATTAAAGCCCTAGATCATATAAGGAAATCGTCGTTTTCCTCTTCAAAGAAAATTTTAATTACGTATAATACTCTAAAAAGTTAATTAGCCACTTTTCTTTACTGGTCACTACTCAATTCCTTACTGCCGGTGCGGGGGATTCACATGATGTGATTACAAAAGAATGCCATATTTATCATCCCAACAAACTTTGCCTTTTTTTTTGCCATGTTTTATTTTGCCAGTTCCTTCATGTGGAGTCTAGCGCTACTTCGGAGCTCATACAACGAGCACGCCTTTGCTCTAAAAGGCCAGCATTTGAGCGCAGAGAAGCTTGCGGGTTTGGGCCCTCGCCACTTTGATCAAATGCGACTTCCTTGCGATCACGAAGACCATGAATTGAGCATGACGCTCTTGCCTGTGACATTCCGTTAGATGACACGAAAGGTGTCAAGTTTTTGAGATAGAGGAGCTATTTTTGTTGTTTAAAAATAATATTAAAAAAAAGGAAAAAAAGAAAAAGAGCCAACATTGCTTTCTTCCTACGTGCTCTTGAGTCTTGCCCCCATCTACGGGCATCTTATTACATAAAAAGTGGATTTATGAAAGAAATATTGCCAGGAGACTGGCTAGTTCACTACAAGTGTAACACTATGTCGATTACTTGCATACAACTACAGTAGTAATTATTGGTGTAAAAGCGATTTTAGTTGCGTTTGATTGGTTTGATAATAAACCGTCACTTTTTAGCTGTTACTTTATAGTTGCAGGTGTTTATTTTGGAATATAGATCTTTTAAATTCCTGTCAATTGTTGCAAATGCCGTTGTGACATAGAACTCACTACTGTGAACACTGTGTAAAACATGACATATTTTTTTCGCTACAGTAAACCCGGTTTTTTTACTGCTACAGTTTTTTTAGAATTTTTGGATTGATACAGTATCTCGCTTCTGCTACAGTTCCCGTGTGTTGTAGTGCTACTTTTTTTTCGAAAGCATTGTACTCGGTTTCGCGTTCGCTACAGTAAATAATACTGTTGTGTTACTGTAGCATGAATAGTGAATCTTGAGTTCTCATGTTTGTACAGAGGAGTAGATATACTGATATACAACTCAAATATATTGCAATCGCGGCTGGTACATACATGTGTAAGTTGAAAGACAACCGGAGCCTCTTTTTGCAACCAAATGTGGAAAAACCTGATAACGAGATTCCTTCGTTGTTAGCTTTGTCTAGGCTTTCCTATAGTCTATAGAGCTTGGGAGTTGAAATTAATTTGTTAGATCTAGCTTTCTTTATTGGAACAACTTGAATACGCAGCTGTTTCCTATTTTTGTACCAATGACAATGTTTGCCTATACTTTGGTTGTGGGCCTAGCCCATGTGTATCAACAGGACCCAGCAGTACAGAGCCCATAACTAATCAATTCGTGTTCGTGCAGAAAGCTAAAGTTTTACAGTGCAACAGTTGAGTGCCAATAACTTGAACGCGTTCTAACTACAGCGATTATACTTCAATTGTGGAATTTAATTTTGAAAGTCTGATGTTCTCATAAATTCAACAAACCATGAACTTTGCAAAATTCTTATTTTGTATCAAACTTTAGAATGAGAAATAGGTAATCAGATGCATAAATATTTTTTTATCGGCTCTTTCACTCATTTTCTGTAAAATCCCACAGTAGAGAAAATAATTTATGACAGTGGAATTTGCTCCAATGACAAAAAAATACCACCATCTTTTTATGTCTAACTTCCCATTAAAAAAAATAGAAGAATTGGATGCGAGTATGCTTATGACCATGAAAATAGAGTATGCTTATGACCATGAAAATAAACATGGTGTGTTAGATCTAATAAAAACTTGAGATCTAAACCATAAAGCTATGATTTAATTCAAAGAGATTAACAAGAATCAAAAGGTGCGGAAGCATATACCTGAATCCATTGAAGAAAACTTGATTAGGGTTTTGATGATCTTCTAACCTTAGGGTTTCTCTCTTATGGATCTCTTTAGATGGGGATAAGAGAATGAGAGTGGTTAACCCTAGATTAGGGACCATAACCCCTTATATATAGGTGTTGTACATTTGTAATTTGGCCCCTCATCAAATTACAATTACAACCTGATATCTGCACATATAACCCCCATGATTTATTTAAATATCTATTAACCCAAATTGATTGATCACTTTAAGTGGGTTATCCTTAAAGATAGTAATACACATTGATTAATCATATGTGCCCACAAATAGATTTAATTAGATTTAAATCCAACAATCTCCCACTTGGGCACCATATGATTCCTTAAATTGTGTATAACCTTATGAGCTCAAAATTGTTATCATTAAAAAGATATTTCCAAACAATCTCGTCCATTGACTATATCAATATAGGATCAAAGCGGCCTTTGTCACATTTATCATGACTCGACCCATCAATGGTCACATATACCAATACAATCAAACGACATAGATCAATCATGGATGTGCAGCATGAAAATTACATGCAATGTGATCAGTACATGTCTATTTTCAACTGATCCTCCTTTAGTGAGGTCAAAAACAAGCATAATGAAACAGAGTGTCTTAACTGAATACTTTATTCTGATCAGACAATACAACCAAACACAAAGCACCAGAAAATTATAAACTCCCACTAAATCAGGATATCCTTGAATAACACCACACCCATATGAGTAGTATGCTCATGAAAGATCTTGGATGTCAATCCTTTAGTAAGAGGATCTGCTATCATGAAGTTTGTCCCAATGTGCTCTATAGATATCTGTCCACTCTGTACCCTTTCTTTTATAACCAGGAACTTAATATCAATATGTTTTGATTTAGTTGAGCTCCTGTTGTTATTGGAATACATAACTGCAGATTTATTGTCACAAAATAACCTCAGTGGTCTTTCAATATTTTCTAAAATGCGCAGTCCAGTGACAATTTCGCAACCATATTCCATGATTTGATGCCTTATAGCAAGCTACAAACTCTGCTGCCATAGTGGAGGAAGCTACGAGTGTCTGTTTTATACTTTTCTATGATATAGCTCCTCCTGCTAACATATAAATATAGCCTGATGTAGACTTTCTGCTATCTTGGCATCCAGCAAAATCAGAGTCCGAATACCCAATGACCTCCAACTGTTCTGATTTTCTATATGTGAGCATATAATCTTTTGTTTTCTGAAGATACCTCATAACCCTTTTGACTGCTATCTAATGATCCATACCAAGATTGCTTAAGTATCTGCCTAACATCCCAACAATGTACGCAATATCTGGACGCGTACATACCTGAGTATACATTAAACTTCCTACAGCCGAAGCATAAGAAATCTTCTGCATTTTCTGAATTTCAAGGTTGCCTTTAGGGCACTGATTTAGACTAAACTTGTCTCCTTTAGCAACAGGGGTATCTCCTGGTCTGCAGTCTTGCATGCCAAACCTTTTAAGTACCTTATCAATATAGCTCTTTTATGATAATCCAAGAATACCCCGAGAGCGATCTCGATATATCTGGATTCCTAATATAAAAGAGGCGTCCCCAAGATCTTTCATCTCAAAATTCTTTGATAGAAATCTCTTGGTTTCGTGCAACATGCCTATATCATTAGTAGCAAGCAATATGTCATCAACATACAGAACCAGAAAAATATACTTACTCCCACTGAACTTGTGATATACACAGTCATCAACAATGTTCATCTCAAAACCGAACGAGATAATTATTTGTTAAAACTTGTAATACCATTGACGAGGAGCTTGCTTGAGTCCATAGATGGATTTCCTTAATTTGCAAACCATATTCTTCGGGTCTCCTGACACAAAGTTTTCTGGTTGCACCATATAAATCATCTCATTAATGTCGCCATTGAGAAATGCAGTCTTAACATCCATATGATGTAACTCAAGATCATAATGAGCAACAAGTGCCATGATTGTTCTGAAAGAGTCTTTCGATAAAACCGGAGAGAAAGTCTCTGTATAATCAATACCTTCCTTTTGAGTAAAGCCTTTAGCTACAAGACGTGCCTTATACCTCTCCACATTACCCTTTGCATCCCGCTTGGTTTTAAAAATCCATTTACAACCAATTGGTTTTGTACCTTCTGGTAATGAGACAAGTTCCCAAACCTTATTGTCTTGCATAGACTTGTACTCTTTATTCATGGTATTAATCCACTATTGAGAGTTAGAACTTTTCATGACCTGGAGGAAGTTGATTGGATCATCTTCCAACATTCCACTACTCTCCTCATGTTCTTGGAGAAATATAATAAAATCATCTGGAATAACATTTCTCCTTTCTCTCGTGGATCTCCTTAATGGCACTGGTGGTTCTTGAGGTTGTTTTTGTTCTTCTGGAACAGGGAGTTGTTCAACATTATCATCTTGAGGTTCCGGATTTACTTCTTGAGCAACAACAGGTATAGGAACCTGAATATTGTCAAAAGTAACTGTATGGATTGGATCTGAAGCCAATTCCTCCTCAAAACTAATGTCTCTAACCTTATTTCTCCCCCCAAACTCAACATCCTCAAAGAATGTTGCTGTTCCCGTCTCAAAAATATTCCTTATAGTGGGATCATAAAACTTATAGCCCCTAGAGCGTTCAGAGTATCCAATAAAGTAGCTGCTAACTGTTTTGGAGTCCAATTTCTTTTCATTTGGCCTATAAGGCCTTGCCTCAGCTGGACATCCCCAAATATGTAAATGCTTTAAACTGGGCTTTCGACCAGTCCAAAGCTCATAAGGTGTTTTAGCAACTGCTTTACTTGGTACTCTATTCAGAATGTAAGCTGCTGTCTTAAGTGCTTCTCCCCAGAGTGACTCTGGTAAAGAAGAATGAGTAATCATACTTTTTACCATATCCTTAAGAGTCCTGTTTCGTCTTTCAGCTACACCATTCATGCTAGGTGAACCCGGTATGGTGTACTGTGGGACGATACCGCATTCCTCTAGGTATCTAACAAATGGTCCTGGACGTTGTTCACCTGAACCATCATATCTGCCGTAGTACTCATCACCACGATCAGATCTAACTGTTTTAATTCTTTTGTTGAGTTGATTCTCAACTTCAGCTTTAAAAGCTTTGAACATGTCCAGAGACTCAGATTTCTCATGAATGAGATATATGTACCCATAACGTGAGTAATCGTCTATGAATGATATAAAATATTGTTGATCATTTCAAGATGCCGTAGGGAATGGCCCATAAATATTCGTATGTATCAATTCTAAGACATCCGAAGATCTATTGGCACCTAATCTCTTTACTTTGGTCTGTTTTCCCTTAATGCATTCAATACATATGTTAAAATCTGAAAAATCAAGGGAATCCAAAATACCATCAGACACAAGACGCTCAACTCTACCTTTTGAGATATGACCCAAGCGCTTATGCCATAATGTCACCGAATTTTCCTTATTTAATTTACGCTTAGTACCACGTGATTCCACATGCAAGGATTCATTATAAGAAGCAATTGTATCAAGCAAATATAGGTTGTCACAAGTACTCAAGTAACCAGTTCCTACAATAATTGAATTAAAAGATAAACTGAATTGATTATTTCCAAATGAACAAGAGTAACCTGATTTGTCCAATACAGAAACTGAAACCAAATTCCGTCTAAAAGACGGTACTATAAAAGTATCTTTTAAATCCAAATATGAACCAGTTCCTAACAGCAACCTAAAGTGCCCAATTGCTTCCACATCTAC